GGCCTCTCCTGTATTGGGTGCTGCAGTTTTACTCTCTCCCACCTTTTTCAAGAGCTACGTGAAGCCACTAAGTGAGGTCATTCCTGGTTTGAGTTTGGTATCATCAGTATGCTGATATAATACTCAACTGCATATTTCGACCCTGTGTCAGCCTAGTGAAGATCTCAGTAACCTTATCAGTGCCTGGAGATTGTGTGGTTTTGGATGGGGAAAAATCATATCTAAGTCAACCCTACCAAGACAAAATGGCTGTTTGACCTGGCTGTCTTTGTCCTTGGATGGGGTTGCACTTCCCCCTTCAAGGTTGATACACATTATTGGGGACTTCCTGGACTTGCATCTGCTACTTAAAGAACAGGTGTCAGCTGTGGCTATGACAGCCTTTGCATAACTTCATCTTGTGTGTCTGTTATAGCATTTCCTAGATTACAGAGCCTTCAGGCAATCACTCATGCCTAGACATTTTGAGGCTTGACTACTGCAATGCTTTCTAAATATGCTTCCCTTGAAGATTAACCAGACTCTTCAGCTAGTCCAGAACATAGCAGCAGTAGAAGTTAACACACCTCACAAGCTATGCAGTTGCCATTTTGTTTCTGGATATGACTCAAGATGCTGCTTGTTATCTATAAAGCTCTAAATGGCATAAAACCTTGTTATTTGAGGGACCACCAATTGTCCATAACATCAGCCTGGCTGTTTTGATCCTGCAAGGTTGGTGCACTTCAAGTTCCTTCAATTAAACAATGTCATCTATAAGGATTCTAGGATTTTCTGCACTCAGGAAAGTGTGTAGAAAAGAGCAACAAAAATCATTAGGGATCTGGAAGTTAAAATATATGCGTAGTTGCAAGAATTGAGTATGGCTAGTCTAGTGTAAAGAAGAACTAGGAGTGATATGATATTTGAGGGGCTGCCACAAAGAAGAGGGGATCAATCTATTTTCTAAAGCACCAGAAGACAAGAAACAATACATGGAAACTAATCAAGGAAAGAAGAAACCTAGAACTAAGGAAACACTTCCTAACTGTGAGAACAATTAACCAGTGGAATGGCTTGCCTTCAGAAGTTCTTGGTGCTCCATCACTGGAGATTTTTAAGAAGAGTCTGGACAGCCACTTGACTGGAACAGTTTAAGGTCTCCTACTTGAGCAGCGTTCAACTAAAAGAGCTCCAAGGTCCCTTCCAATTGTTATTACCTTTTCTGTAGCAGTCATTCTTTTAAGCCAGTTTAGTCTCTCTGGTGTTCAATAAGCCTTTGTGGTGTACTAGCTTTAGTGCATCTTCTTCATGGTCCTTCAGATATTCTTCCAAAGCCTTTCAGTACTTCATCTGGCTGGAGTACTTCCAACATTCCATTCCCACTTATTTTCCTTGGTAATTAGGGTCTATCAACATCTCTGCATGGAAGGGTATAATTTATTGTCGTTTTTCTAGTCTTCCTATTCAAGACTTTTAGTTCTGCTTGAGTCCAGTTCACTATTTTAGCTGTGTATTTAATGATTGTAATTTCTCAAGTGTTAATTGCCTTGATAGCATTTTCTCTATTGAGTTGGGACTTTAAGATAGTCTTCACTCTCATCTTGAAGATAGTCTTCTAATCTTCTTCTTGTCTTTGGTGTGCTTGATGTTGCCAGGTTGAAGGATGCCCAGGTATTTGTAGTAGTCATCTTCATCCAGACTCTTAATGTTATTTTCAAAGGCCATCTAGATTTCTTCAGTTTTCACTATTTTTCCTCTACTCATGGGAAGGCTGGCACAAACACCATTGCAATATATTGTCCATATGTATGGACAAAGTTAAGTAGCAATTCTAATTCAGATGGTATTTTTCCATACAACCTTGTCCACATTATTATCCCCTACCCATTAAGGCAGTATCTCACTTTGATTTCTGGCTGGGGTGCAAACTGAGACAGGCTATTTTAATCTGGAGCTCATGCAATAATCAGCACTACAGCCTTAACTGGGTCTCAATTCCTGTGTAGGTATTGTCCTGGAGCCAAATTTCAAGAGAGGCACATTGTCCCATGCTCCAAACTTGCTTTCTCTGCAAATGCCCTCATCAACATGCAGCCACAATTTACTTTACCCCTGATTTTGCACATTTCCTTACTGGAAGGCATTTTTAAAATTATTGCCTAAACCAAAACTATGCTGCCGTTTGCCTTTTTTTTTCCTGACATGCAAACCACAGTGATTTGATCTAGCAATTTCAAACATTCCCTTCAAGTTTAACTAGTCACACTTGTTTTGAAAATCTTTCTGATCCAGGTCTTCCTTATTTTTTCTGTAATGTTAGAGAGTATACCACTTATTTTCATAAAATTGTCTCAAAGTGCTTGATCAACAACTTTATTTCCTGATCGGTCAGTAGCTGTATAGAAATCTGGAGAGGGGGAGAGTGATGTTATTATGCAAATGATAGAATTGATGTAATTTGCACCACACACATTAAATGTCTGACACAAATTATATGATTTGTGTCATTTGTACTATGATATCAAGGTGCACGTTAGTTCATTATGGTTCCTATGGCACACTGTCTAGTTCATATATGGCACTAAGCCACAGCACTGCTTCCTGGTTTCTGCCATTGTAAATTCAGTATATTAAATTGCACTGTATTATATGCTTTCATTATAACTCACCAAATGTTAAAATAAAGCCTTTACTCTTGAATTCCATGGTAATCACCATTTAATTAGTTAGTTCATTTAGTGACCATTCAAAGTTACAACAGCACTGAAAAAAGTGACTTCTGACTGTTTTCCATACTTATGACTGTTGCAGCATCCACATGGTCACATGATCAAAATTTGGGTGCTTGGCAACTAGCTCATATTTATAATGGTTGCAGTGTCTCAGGGTCGTGAGATCCCCTCCTGTGACCATCTGACAAGCAAAATCAATGGGGAAGCCAGATTCGCGTCACAAGTGTGTTATTAACTTAATAACTGCAGTGATTCACTTAACAAGTGTGGTAAGAAAAATCATCAAATGAGACAAAACTCACTTAACAAATGTCTAGCTTAACAACAGAAATGTCGGACTCAATTTGTAATCAGAAGCTAAGGACCATTTGTAATACCTTCAGCCCTAAACATGCGTAACTTCCAAATCCAGGCAAGACTAGCCAGATACTGCTATCTGGGACATTGTCAAACAGAAAAAACATTGCCCCATGTACAAGTTAATCAATGTTCTACTCCAGTCAAACCACTGAAAGTCTCTCTGATCCTCTACATTAGTATGCTTTGCAATTTGCAAAAGTAATAGCTTCTTCAAGAGCTATTATTTTATGCAGACAGGCTGATTCCAAGTGCCATGTTCCTCCCGATACGTACTAAAGCTATTCCCTCGGGAGATTCCTTTTTCAAAGGAATTGCCTTTGAAGAGAAAATGCACATGGTGAAAATACCCTTTTTCCTCATCAGACACACATCACTGGAAGAGTGCAGTCTGAAACAATGCAATGAAATGCTTTGGTTATTTTTTCATTTAAACAGAATAGTTTAGGAGTATGAAGAAACTATGTGGAATAATTGAAAGAAAAAAAATGAGACAAAATAGGAGATTACCTGTTTATTATGTTTCCATTTTATTATGTTCTGAGACTAAAGATGAACTGCATTTTGGCAGGAATTCAAAGCACAGACCATATATGATATGTGATCCATACTTTATGGCCACCACTGAGCCAATATGAATTATTCATTGGTTTTGAGTGGGGGAGGTAGAGGAAGAGAAAGATGCAATCTCTTTCATAGCTGGCAGCATCACTGTAAATTAAGAAGTGAACATAGCACACTGCTTCTTAACAACTTGATCCTATGCAGAATTAAGCATGCGTGGCATTGACACGCCCAACATCTCACAAGATTAATAGGCTGCTAGCTGTACTTCCAGATTCATTATTTTCATCAGGGCTTTCCACTTCCTTTATTGACTGAACAATTAAAGGTTTTAAAATAAGTAGAACATGAAACACAGAGATCATCTGTTGTTTAAAACAAAAGTCTGTTTGCCTCAGATTATTAGATTCATATCTGCTATAGTATATCCTACCAAATAATTGGGAACAGTTCCATTTTCGTCATTATATGGGGGGAGGGGTAAGGGAAGGTTACAGGCAAAAGAATCCTTTCTAATTAAGAGCTTTTCCTTAATCAAACAGCCTGACATTATGTTACTCCTGATAAACTGGGATGTTTTTATTCATCAACTGAGGAAAATTTCCAATAAGAATGCAGCCCAGGATGCTAACCTGGGAAAATATAGCATGGAGCAGATGCCCTCACCCATTCCTTTTGCTGATTACAATAGTTAGGAGGCATCTTCAAAATGCCCTTCAAAGGAGGGCCAAGAAGGAAAAAACATATGTTTAAATGAAGGGAAGTAGTGAATGGAAAGCATGTCTGGTACAGCCATCATCATTCAGATAGATAGTAAAATACGATAGTACTTTGTTAGTCAAGAGGAGTAAAGGAGCGCATCTTTGAAAGACTTAAGAAGCCTGAGACAACACACTTCCTTGAGTGAATCTTTAGTCTCTTCTGCACACCACTCACTACCCTTTCCTCGTTCCCTGGTGCAGTAATTCCCCCCCCCCCCCACTGCACACGCATAATCCTAAATAGTGCCCCATATCCTATCGCTCTACAATCATCTGGAGTGCAAGATCCCTTCACAGTACTGCCTCATATGAACTGAGCAGGTGAACTCACTCCAGCGAGATGCCCTGACCCGTAACCCTTTCTCCAAGGCAGTCCATAGGGCCTCGTCTCCTCCCGCGCAAGCAGCACCTTCCACGCAATCCACGCGAAGAAATCGTCTCAGGGCCTCGGCGGAGACCCCACCCCACAATCCACCCTGCTCTCCCAACGCCAGAACTTCCCTCCTAAGCTTTCCCATCAAAGGCTGAGATGCCTTCGCCCCAGCCCCCAACCTGGGATCAGCCTCGCCCACCCAGCCCGATGCCCAGCGGGGCAAGTTCTCACCCAGAGGCCACCGCCGCCGCCGCTGCCTCCTCCTAGATCAGCGCCGCGCGAGAGGATTTGCAGGGAAAGTAGGCGCGGCCAAACGCAGTCACACCCAACTCGATCTGCTTACCCCTGCCTGTATTATACTCTTGCCGGATCCGCTCAGGATTTGGAGGTGGAGCAAGCGGGAACGTGAATCGCTCTGTTCTTTTCAGCGGTTCCCTAGCCTTTGGCGGAGGGAACAGGCGCTTACCAAAATTGCTCTGCCAAAATGGTTCCCTTACACTGGAGTCTTTTTCCCCCAACTCCCAGGACTGACCCCAATATGCATCTTAAACTACTACATTAAAAAGTGATCTGAAAAGTGGGTTCAGAAGTGCCAACAAAAGGCCTTTCTTAATTATATCACATTACATTATAATTAATATCTATGTTACAGGTATTAGTTATATTACATTATTAATTAATTTATTTTATTTATTTATTTGATTTGCCTATTGTTTACAAGATAATAAGTATAAGTGTATACATAGTTGTGAATACATGAAATGGGTACATATAAGAAAAATAAAAGAATAAGAGAAACAATAGGACAGGGACGGTAGGCACGTTGGTGCGCTTATGCACGCCCTTAATATTACTACAGATATTACTACAGATATTCAGATTATCAGATTTCATTTTAGTTCACAGCATTTAAGTTTACCCAAAATGTCTGCAAGCCTGCTTCATGAATTGAAATAAATAACACTTTTTAGTTGTATCTTTCTACCAACAGCATACAATATTTCAAATATTGTTCAGTGTCAATTCACTGCTCAAACAAATAACATGTATATTTGTACATGTATATTTGGAATTATTGTAGCTGCATTGCTCATAAATTATTAACATATTGAGAATCTTGCTTGAATTTTATCCCTACTTTGGATATGGGAAAATAAGAGCTTTAATACTGGACTAGCTGTCTTCAACAGACATATTCATGCAACATGCTAAGCTTGGCTAATAATACTGTAACTTTGCAGGTTTTTTTGAATCACCCTGTTCAGTTAGTCTGTGATTATATATTGTATGAACCCAAAACATGAATTTAGTAACCAGTTAAACGTGTGAACATGGCATTGAATCAGATATGGACATCCATCAAGTTCAATTTGCTAGCTTCAACTTAACTATTTAAGAAGTCCCTCAAAAGTAATGGAGTGGCATGTCCAAAGATATTAGACTGCAATTCTTCACATATTATCCTGCCAGTAAATTCTATACCGACGATATTCACTTAGTTCACATCAATGTGCTTTCTTCTAGTCCTTGAGTTGGCAGCAAAATTATGCAGGCCTAAGTAAAATGCCAATGTCATAACCCTACTCATGAGTGAGGCTGACAGATGAAGGCATCTTAACAGTTGTTATTAATTTTATTCCCTCCCACCTATCATTGCCTGTCACCTAAACACCAACTGCTGCTTTTAACACATGGTGGGGTGGTCCTGACAGTTGTGGGTGGGCACTTGAGATAAAAGCTTTGGCCACATTTCAAATGGCTCAAGTGATAGGCGTGGATGAATTTCAAGTTGCAAAATGGCACTACCACCCCGTCTCTCAAATAATAGAAAGTCCAGCCATGCAAAACCTTTGTCGGCAGAAGACTGAATAACATAATGCAAACATCTGACAGAATCTGGCCTTTTCCCATTTAAATTGATCTTCTGAATGACAGGATTGGCAGTGTTGTCAAAAAACTAAAATCCTGTACACATGTCTAAAACTCTTTCAAAAGAATGCTAATTCAATAATACAGTATAAGGAGCTTGCATAATGCCCGTGGGGTGCTTTTTGAAATATCCTGCATCCAGGATGCTTTTAGATACTTAGTCTCTCCTGCAACTCAGGCCAAAATGACTATGGAAGCCAGTATTTAGTGACAAATTACAGATTATTTGGCAAGACTTGTTTTGGGGGGAGAGAAAACACTATAAATATTTTGAAAATAGAACTTCTTAAGATGAATCAAATGTTTCTCTATGGTGGGCACCTTGGAGGTATCTTCATGAAACATGAAGATGTCTAGACGTTCAGTCATGGCAACTGGAGTCCCTTTCTTCTTAGTTGGAAATGTTTGCTGCTTATTCAAATAGTTTCTTCAGTCTGAGCAAGTTGGTTAGGGGAACCCCATATATGTCCTCCAGAGCGGTTTCATTTCTCACCAATTTGGACAGGCTTCTTAAGTGAATAAGCAAAGTTATTGGAATGTAAATGCTCCAACTCCTAAATCCTTTACCTAAGTGGGTCATTAAGTGTGGCCTTCCTGGTGAATCTGTCATTTTAATCTTCCTTGGAAGTGATGCACAGGTAGCATTAAAAAATGAGACAGGTATCTGAGACCTCCATCTTTACTGAGGGAAGAATTTTCCACTTTGGCATAAATGGATTCCTTCACTGCTTTCTCAAGCCACCTGTCTTCCTGTCCAAAATGTGAGCATTACTGTCCTCAAAAGAGTGCCCCTTTTCTTTTAAATGAAGTATACTGATGATTCTGGTCCTATGGTGTTGATTCTCCTATGCTGGGCCATCCTCTTATGTAAAAACTGCTTGGTTTCTCCAATACAGAACTCTGAACACTCCTCACTGCATTGGACTGCATACACATTACTTTTTGTATGTTTTTATGTCTGTTCTTTAGGGTGAACAATCCTCTGTCTCAGTGTGTTGTGGGTTTGAAGAACGCAGGTATGTGGTGCTTTCCAAATATGTTTTAGCTTTTCTGATACACTAGCCATATAAGGAATGACCTGTTGACTCTTAGCCTCAGCTCTGTCTGCCATTCTTTTGTTGGATCCAGATGCTGATTTAATAAAGGCCCAATCTGATATCCTGAGGCCTTAAGAGCTGTCCTTAAATGACTGTTTTCCTTCTTTGGGGCATTCCTGGAGGTGGGGATGTTTTCTGCCCTATAATAGAGTGTTCTGATGGTGCCTAGCTTGTGTTGAAGTGGATGGTGGGAGTAAAACAGCAGGTACTGATCTCCGAGTGTGGGTTTCCTGTAGCTCTCTATTTCTAGGTTGCCACAGATCCTAATCAGAACTTCACAGACTAGGGACACAAGCCTGTTGTCCTTGGTGTCTTCCCTGATGAACTTGATATTTGGGCAGTATTTATATGGTCTGTGAAGATCTGTACTTGATTTTTTTGCCCAGGTGTCATCCACATACCTGAAAACTAGTGGGTGATGTCATCCCTGGAAGGTGCTTAGTGCTGTCTTCTCTACTTCTTCCATGAATAGATTGGTAACAATGGGGGGGGGATCCACAGCTCAGCCGTATTTCTATCTGTAGAAGTCACCTCTGAAAGTGAAATAAGTGGTATTCAGACACAGGTCCAGGAGACATATATGGGGTTCCCCCTAACCCCCTTGCTCAGAATGATGAAGCTATTTGGATAAGCAGCAAAACGTTTTGAACCAACAAGAAGTACAATTGCCATGACTCACCTGGATGCCTGAGAATCTTTATTGAGATATGAAACATGAAGATGTTTAAAAATTGTCAGCAAAGAATTTTCATGCCATACTTATTGATATAAGAATGAATACTATTCTATTAATCTTGTTTGTGAATTATTTACATCTAAATGATTAGAACAAAACTACATTCTAGAAGCCCCCTTCAAGTATTGCATATGCTAAATGTCCAAGAATGTATAACTTTTTAAGTTTATATTCACTATTACTCTGAGAAACCAAAGAAATTCCACAAAATCTGTATTATCTTGAATTAAAAGACTAAATCTAACTTGCGAAAGAGGGTACTAGATAAACAGCTGGCCAAAGCAGAATACACTTTTTGTATTATACTGGGAGTACCAGGTGCTTTTTACACTTTTCAGATTATCAAAATAACATGCTGGAAGGCAAAAATGTGAAATGTCTGAGGCACTATTTTCAAACTCCAGGACAATTCCACCATTAAAGGTTCCAATAGCAAAGTTTTTAAAAAATAACACTTAAAATATATTTTATTTCCATTAAATATGTCATCAAGAGTCTAGTTATTCACTATCCAGGAACATTAAACCAGACACTCTAGTAATAAATGCATATTTTATTGTGATATAGTATAACTTTATCATGCAATTGTTTCTCTGAACTCTTGCTATATTGGGATGTGGTCTACCTCTCAGACTTACGCATTAAAAACAAGCCTTCAAATTAACACTATCCATTGTTATCAAAACAGTTTTATTCTAGAATTGTAAGTCATTCGGATGGATAGAATCATTATTTTAAGAGAGTAGTCTTTGCATATCTGTTAAAATAGTAATGTCTGAAGTCAGATGTCTGTAGCACAGTACTCCTTTAATGGAAGTCCAGCCTGAAGAAAGAAGAGCATTCTCCACAATGGGGCAATGAATATATTCAATATAGATATTTTATCTTTGCAACAATCCAGGTACCCTCAAGTACAAAATATTACTTTGCACAAGCTAATCCAGCCGGAATTAATCCACGCCTTCTAAACAATGCAGGCATTTCCATCCCATTTGTTTTGTTACTGAGAGACGTGCAGGAAAGGATTCCCATTTTGACATGCCAACTTCATTCACGAGAGGAGGCTTCGTTGCAAATCTTCCACTTCCAACTCCCACATAGTCCTGTGCAGGGGATTGCCCGAAAGATCCGTCATCTTCACAGCTTGAAGGACAGGTTCTGGCATGCAACCCTGCACCAAGCCCATCACCATCACATAATTTCCAGGGCTGAGGCAAGGTTTTCCCTTAGGGACTCTCTCCACGCCGGAAACCACGAAAGAGCCGCTCTCGTCCAGCAACCGCACAGTCGAACCATCCTGCTCCACTGCCAGTACTTTGCCCTGCATCCAGACCAGAGACACGGGTAACGCCGGACATCCATACTCTTCCCGGTCCAACAACCATGAGCCGCCAGGGACTTGACGGCACCGCTTCAGCTGCGCAGCCAGGACCTTCACCGGCGGCGACTGTAAGCAAGACTTCTCCATCGTTACGCCAACCTCTTTCCCGCCAAATTTCAAGAAAACGCTGAGAATGATGGTTCTGAAGAGGCTGTTGTAGTAT